ATTCTCCACGATTCTTCGCTACCTGTTGGATTTTTGCAACCTCGATTTTATCCAATCACCATTGCGGAGAATTCCGGTAATATGCGTCACATATAAAATGCTTCCGCTTCAACGAACACTCGAATAGCGATATCGGTTTTACAACGAGAATGCTTGTTGGATTCGCATATTTTTCTTCGACTCTTGCTGGGTCGTCCGATGAGCGATTGAAGGTATTTCGAAGCGATTTCGCGCAGGTCGTCGAGGAACCGAACCCAGCCTGGAACGATCTGGCTCGGGCGCTGACGCACCTGGAGGAGCCGGGCGCGGATCACCCGGTGCACCCGCCCGCCCCGCTGTCCCGGTGGATGCCGGATGACCTGAGCGGATTCTACCGGTACAATGGATCCCTCACGACGCCTGCCTGCGACGAGGTGGTCGTCTGGACGGTTTTCGAGACGCCCATCTCCATCGGCCGGCGACAGGTCTCTTGCTCTTTTATTTGTGTCTTGGGGAAGTGTGAGCTGTGAGCGTTGTGATTGGGTCAAGTCTGCCGTGGGTTTACGACTGATCGTGTGGCGCGTCTCTGCTGACGTCGCTCTTGTATCGCACAAGATAGGTCGAAATTTCGCACACCTTTCAAGTCTTGCCTGCAGACAAGGTTTGAAAGGTGTGCGAAATGTAACCCTCGAACCCTGTAGAACTATCTCTGCACTTTAGAGATATTTCATTATACAGAGAACGAACGGGAATAGAAGGGGATCAAGAATCACGGGTCAAAACCGTGGGCAACCGGGATCCGTTGCATACATATTATGGAGCCGGTCGCGGATCCTCAAAGTCTCTATTCCAGGCATTGCGTACGGTCATTTTCTAACGCGCCTCGCTTACTCTGGGTAAGCACCTGTTTTGAAATGTGTTATTTTGTTGTAACCGTCCCAGCCGCGTGAAAACCGGATCTCCTGCTCAGGTAGATGAGATATTAACGCTCGAACACGAAGTAAACGTACTTCAACCGCTCCCAGCGCAACCGATCCGCTTGTATCCCAGTTCACTTCGTCGTATTGCTTGATGAGGACGTGAAAACGCCTTTCTTATCGAATCTTTTTCGGTTTCCGTTTTCGGTCGTGCAGTTGCGGCGATGGCACCGGCTGACGTCGAAGACGGGGGGCAGGCTGACGGGGAACATCCGGCCCCTGCAAGTCCGGAACGACCGGCCGATCCTCTACGATCCGGGATTTCCGTTTTCGTCTTTTGGGTGATGGAAGGGATCGATCTTTGCGTGAGGGAACCGGCTTCACATATATATATATATTGTTTCGGGGATCATCCATGATCAAAATGCGCCTGTGATATTCTGGGGTTCCGGTCCGATGAAGTTTGATCCGAGGAACTTCTAAATTTGAAGAATGCTGCTTTTTCCTTTGTCGAACGGGTAACTGGCGAGTTGCACGTGTTCCTCGGGCATTTTTTAAAATGCAACAATAAACGTGTGGAACGTGAGAAATGGCTCTTTTTTTTTCTCTATACGTATCACACTGTAATGATACAGTAGAGCGTCCAAAAGTTTTATGAAAGGCAAGATAAGCTCGACTTTTCCTCATCGACCAGATATGCACCAGATCGATAAAAGATAAACTAATTTCACAATGGGAATCGGTTTGACGGCGAAAATTTTATTCCAATGAACGCCCATTATGAAATGAGGTGAATATGAAGTTAAACTGATCAGTTGCCGTTCGCCCATTACTTGACTGAAGGCAGTGGGCGGCTCGTGTTTGGGTCACGCCGTGGGGGAGGTCAGTGACGTTCCTGAGGCCAGTGACGTTCCTAAACTCCCTCTATTTGCCTCTCTTGGTCCCCCCCCCCTTTTCCCCATAACTCACTGTTTTAATTTTTAGGCCACCGTTGAACTCTATTGGCTCTCTATCACAATGCTAATTCACGGTCGAGTCACAATATGCTGCAAATACGGTTCATTACGAATAACCAGCATTTCATCGACGTCGATTCTTCGTCGGATTCTCGACTTCAACCGAGTCTCAACGTTGGCACAACGTAGCCGTGGCGACTGGGCGATATCTCGAAGATTGCCACGGTTGCCGCTTGGAGCGCCACTGTGGCATGGTTTGGATATGTTGCCAATACTTTCGAAATATGCAATGCCGGTATTGCATAGCGTTTGACGACCGTCTCGTGGGGGGGGGGGGGGGGGGGGGGGGGGCGCGGGGGG